AAGCCTATTTTATTGTGTCTATCTCCATTTCTTGAACTACTTAGAAGCTGTCGTTAAAAGGGTGGCGATTTTCGCTTCATACAAAATAAAACGTTCTACTTAAATTAAGACGGTGATAGGGTCCGCCCCTTTTAGGCTACCCCCTTTCTAGATTCCCCCATTATAGAAGCTTAGTTTTAGGCGCAAGCAAGAGATGCCTCGAGATCTTTTAGAGAGCGCTTATATAAGATTGGATCGTCTACGAAAACTCTTCTAGCCTCAGGTTTTAATGTTACCATTAAATAGATTACCGCAGGAAATAGATTAGATAGTAATCCAAAACCAGTATTATTTCTACATAAAACGTCTATATAACTATCTACGAGTTAAAGGGCAATTCACCCAGTATTAGATGAAATTTGTTAATGTTGAGTATCTTGCAACTATAACTTTGTGAACGACTACCTTCGCCGCGGGTCCTCAGCGGCCGACTCTAACCCCGGAATTGTAGTGAGAGTACTTCTCCACTAAAAAAATCCACGACGAAAAGTAACCTACCGTCCCACACTGACTGTATAGAATCCTAAGTACTTTTATGTATCAAAAGTCCCACTTTTTAGTTAAGCTGAAATTTTTAATTGGTCAAGAAAAACACAACAAGGTTCTTTCCGGAGTGTTTCCACAAAGGGAGCTCCCGAGCTACTATCCACTATTCGGATGAGCGGAATTAACGGAAGTAACGGAAGTAACGGGATTAACGGTGGCAGGCGAGCGCCAAAAGCTACAATGAATTGATATTTGGGCATCTACCATACTAACCGGCCCCTTAAATTTTAACAGCCCTATCTATAAAAGCTTAGTTACTTAACCTTAAAGCGTCACTAAAGCGCCAGGAGTCTCATATCAAGCCGAAGCAGTTGAGCCATAGCCATACGACAAACACACATGTCTCCAACAACACTTCCACCTCTCTTGCCAGAGGACGGCAACGGCAACGGCAACCTCGAAGCGATCGGAGAGAAAACACATCAGGTCGAGCCTAAAAAGGAAAAGCAGACCGTCGAGTCTAACAGATCGTCCACTATGGCATCCTCGTCTGTCAATGGTGTAGATGATGGTCCTGCTACTGAAGAAAAAGCTGTGGATGAGCCGCCAAAACCTGTGATGGAATATCCGAAAGGTATCGAAGCCTTGTTCATCATGGTTGCGCTCGTGCTCAGTATCACCCTCTGTTCTCTGGATCAGGTGAGTTCTACCGCTCCAAGCTTCTCGTAGAGTCGTCTTTTGCTAATGCAATACATCACACGCCAGTAAGCTGATGCTCTCGATTCAGACCATTGTTGCAACCGCTATTCCAAAAATTACCGACCAATTCCACAGCCTTGACGATATCTCGTGGTACGGTTCGGCTTATTTCATGACGCTCGGAGCCTTCCAGTCAACCTGGGGCAAAGTGTATAAATACTTTCCCCTCAAAACTAGTTTCCTGGTGGCAATCTTCATATTTGAACTTGGGAGTTTGATCGCCGCTGTGGCCCCAAACTCAACGACTCTGATTGTTGGGCGTGCCATCTCCGGTCTCGGTGCCTCGGGTATCGCGCCTGGAGTATACACGATTTCTGCTTTTGCTGCTGAGCCCACCAAAAGAGCTACCTACACGGGGGTCATTGGTGTGTCATATGGCGTTGCCGCTGTCTGCGGACCACTCATTGGTGGAGGGCTTACAAAAGGGGCATCCTGGAGGTGGTGAGTCAGGAGATTCTTACTGCTTTGTCTTTGTTGCAAGACATGGGACTATTTCCAGTTATCGAATCCTGCCATGACCGGACCTGGCCTGACGTGACAACTTTAGGTGTTTCTATATCAATCTTCCAATCGGTGGTCTGGCCGCTTTTGTCATCCTGCTCACCTTCAAGACCCCTAAAGCCGCTAAAGTGGTCCAGGCTACGCTCAAGGAGAAGCTTCTACACATGGACCCGATAGCGACGATGCTTACAATGGGTGCACTGGCCTGCTTGCTTCTAGCTCTTCAGTACGGTGGTGTAACCCATGCGTGGGATTCCAGCGTCGTTATTGGTTTACTCGTCGGTTTCGTTGTCATGGTTATTGCACTTATAATTGCAGAAATATGGCAGGGTGAACGCGCCATGCTGACACCACGTATTTTGCGCAAAAAGACCGTCTGGGCCAGCAGCGTATGGGGCTTCTTCTTTGCTGGCGCGTATTTCGTCACGCTCTATTACCTGCCTATTTATTTCCAAAGCATCGACAACGTCAGTCCGATTGACTCGGGTGTGCGCAACATTCCTCTCATCATCATGTTCGGTATTGCCACATATGGCTCAGGCAGAGCCATCACGAAGACGGGTATTGCAACTCCTTATATGGCAGCTGGCTCTGTGATCGTGACCATCGCCGCTAGTCTACTGTATACTCTCGACGTTAGGACCTTGACAGGCAGATGGGTTGGGTATCAGATCTTGGCGGGCTTCGGATACGGCCTCGCCCTCCAAGTCCCGGTCGTCGTTGCGCAGGCTTTTGCTGCGCCAAGCGACATGGCTCCTACGACCGCGATTATTATATGTAAGTTCTCCTTCGCCCTGTCCTAGCATGTCGTCAATTTTCTTTGTCCCCTTGTATCCCCAAGCTAACTATATCCCTCGTGCACAGTCGCTCGATCTGTCGGCGGCACAATTTTGCTCGCAGCCGCGCAATCCGGCTTCGTCAACCAGATCGTGCACAAGCTTGCCACCACCGCACCGAGCGTCAATCCCGCCCTAGTCACGGGTACCGGTGCCACTGAGGTGCACCGGCTATTTTCCGGAGCCGAGCTGGACGGTATTGTCCATGCGTACGCATGGGGTATCAAGGTTGTTTTCGCAATTACTATCGCGGCCTGCGGCCTCACTGTTCCCTTCAGCTTGTGCAACGAATGGGCCAATGTTAACGCGAAGAAACCCAGTGGTGGCGGTGCTTGACGGTCTTAACACTCACGGAGCGGACCGTATCATAGTTATTTAATGGCTCACATGAACTAATATAATCACCGTAGATACGTTCCTCCCTAGGGTTACTAGCACGACAGCTGGGCTGACCCTAAGCTCGGAGTTGCGCATATCGATGGACTGGGTTGCCTGTGGTAGCAACAAATCCAAGGAGGGAGACTGTTAAGGATAGTGTAGTAATGTGATATATGCCGTTCGTGGTGGATGTTGCACATAATAGCTTTAAGGTGATGTGTTCTGAAATATGAAGGCAAATGATAATTAAAGGAAAGTGCTGTTTAAATAAGTTATGGTCGTGAGAGCTAACTGTTCGGTTCGAAAGGTGGAGGGGGCGAGAAATAATGGAGTTGGCGTGAATAAGCTCGTGTTCTATTAACCCTCCTAGTTCGCGATTGGTGAAAGGACCAACCGGAGAGAGTAGTCGGTCCTCACCCAACTCTAGGGTGTTCAACGACCACTACACAGCCGTTGAGGGTAATAAAAGCGAGATCACCCGTGAATGCCGTTGCTCACTAGTTGTTTTCGCTTCCCAGTATTTACCCTGTAGTTGAAGTCTACGAACGACGTATATACTTCTGAGATATTTAGATTTATTTTACTCATTCGTCTTTCTGGTTCTTGGGTTCTCAATGCTTAAACATTCTCTTATGGACGTTTGGCGATTTAGTACCGTTGCGATCTCAAAGATCGCTTTCGAAGAGCTAGGCCCTTTTTAGTAGAGTGATCACGAGCCCTTTCGAAGCGTGCTTAAGACTTCATTATCGAACCGAGATTGACGCATGAAATCCTTATGACTTGGGTCTCTAAAGGTTGCGAACGTCACTAGAGAGTTGCGTTAATCAATAATTCCGCACTAGTAACGTAATCTTAACTCTGTAGCTGTAAGGTGATCTGAGCACAATATTAGCAGGGTACTTTTTAGTATAATAAAACAATAATTATGTCGCGGAGAAACATGGTACCCTGATAACAGAAGGGGGACTGCAGGAGACGTGTGGAATATTGTATATTGATGTAGCCGTACGACCTTGACGAGAGCTTACGAATGCCTAAGGAAATGTGCGCCATATCTTGGCCCGTTGCAAGCTTTTGAAATCGGAATTGTAAACAGCGGACCTGCGAATTACTGAATCGAGTTAGTTTTGCCGTTTCCGGTAACGTAATTCCAAGTGCGGAAGCCTACTAATACTACCACTACTATAGTAGCCGCAGAGCCTAGTACTACAGGGCAATATACGTACCAGAGGGCACCCCCGCGCTGTGGTAATTATGGCACAATTAGGCACAAAGATTAATGTGTAACGTTTAGTATAGTATATCTATCAATCTCATATCTTTGTTGGTGGTTGGGTAATATTCAAAGATAGAAAGGGGTAGTGGACGGGGTGCGCGGCTCGCTTGGGCCACCGAGAGCCAACCTACCTACCTGTCAGCAGATCACGTGCAGCATCCTATACTCTGGTATCCCCAGGTATTCTGGGAAAAGAGAAACCAGATCATGCTCAGTGACCAAGAGCATGATCTACCCTGATCAGACCCACTCAAGAGAGGTTTTCCTGTAATGTTACTCTATGTACCAGATATTAGGCGCACCAGAAGTTGCCTTCTTGGGAACTACAGGGCACGTGACTATGCAGGTAGTAGAACGGTAGATAGTCGAAGAGTAGAATCCGCCAAGGAGATTCTACCACTCTACCCTCTACTCATCTACTTAGGAAGAACTCAGAGATATATAAGGACACTCATTCATGTATCTAGTTTAGTTCTTCGTCTTCAATCATACATTGCTACTTGTGTTTACCTTTTGGACTACTGGTGACTCTCTTACTTGATTACAACTTGACAACACTCACGGATAGGCCAATACCCCGATATAGATCTATTCGGCGCTCTACCTGGCACCGTTCCTCGATATTTCAAAAGTATCCATCCTGCAGTAAGGCCTGTTAGGCAACAGTACGGTTGAGAGTACAGATCATTGACGTTGGAAACCTGGGGAGTATAAGGCAAGTATACCCGGAACCCCTATAACTTAACTGTGACCAGTTTGCAGTGCGTAACAATAGGCTTTAGGACTCCCGACAGTGAATGAATTTTGAAAGGGTAACACTGCCAAACATGTCCGTTATGCTTGTAGTGACACTAAGATAGGTCAATAACCACACGCCCATTGAGCTGGCCCCGGTCCATGTCTTCGAAAACCTCCGTTAGTTTCTCCAGCTTCTCAGTCCGAACGTGAGGCTTTATGATCCCACGGGCAACAAAGTCTAGCACTTCATGCGCGTCTCGCCGATTGCCAACGGCAGACCCCTCGATTGAAAGCTGCTTGAACACAAGTGGGCCCGGGCAAGCTGTCGCAATAGACACCATGTCGCCCTCAGGAATGCCCACACAGACCAGGGAGCCATTAAAGCGAAGCATAGGAATGGCTTGCGCATAGGCAATGTTGGACGCCGTGCAGACAATGACAGCATGTGCACCATGGCCACCAGTCAGAGACTTGACGTGTTCAGCGATCGCAGCACCATTATCGTCTTTTGGAAACTGGGTGATATCCACAAAGGCTTCTGCGCCGTTCTCTTTGACAAGGTCAGCTTTGCTGCCGTGGTCGACGCCGATTATGCGCAGGCCAAGGCCACGACTTCCAATCTGTGTTGCGAGATGCCCAAGACCACCTCCCGCGCCTGAAATTACCACGAAGTCACCGGGCTGCGCCTTGCTGCGTTTCAGGGCTGCATAGACCGTCACACCGGCACAGAGCATGGGTGCTGCCTGCTCAGAGGGGACACTCATCGGGATTGGGGTCACGTAATCGATGGGCCCAAGGACGTATTGCTGAAAGGTACCGGGGTTATAATAGCCGGAAATCTTTCCATTTAAGCATAGCCCGTCGGACCCCGAAAGACAAGGCACTTCAGTCGTCTGTCAGTATTCCGATGATGGATGCCGGTGGGATTGAAGGGTCAACGCACAGCATGTTCCACAAACAGCAGCAACCCACTTGACACCAACGCGGTCGCCTACTTTGACTTCTGAACCATCGCATCCTGGTCCAAGTTTTACCACCACGCCAACACCCTCATGTCCGCCAACTTGGCCTGCCTGGGTTGGGAATGGTAGCGCCCGCCACTGGAGTTCCGGCAATGTGTCAGATATAGTCTAGAGGTGATATACGATGCTCAAACCGACCGAATTTGTCATGACACCAAAGTCCGAATGACAGACACCTGAATGAGTCCTGACCCACTCAGTCATCAGTGCGCTTATCCATGCAACATAAGCCGAAACAGGGACATCCCCACACTCACAAATTAATAAGGACTTGCCCGAATCCTGGCTCTGGCGTATCAACCAGTGTCACACTGGTCGATACAGATCCCGGCTTGTCATAGACTGCAGCCTTGTGCTGTTTAGGAATACCCACTGGAGAAGACATGTTGGTTGCTGGGAATTGAAGTTCGGCCCAATTGGCGTGGTTTTCCGAGGCTTTGCCACTCAAGATTCTTCTCATCTGTGAGGAGCCGCTCCATGGAAAGCAAGGACTGGGCTCCTACTACTTATAATGTCGTTGGGGGAGGGATTCCGATCGCTGTCCATTATCCCCATCATTTGCGCGATTCGCACCACGCTAGATTTTGACCAGTTAACCTAGGCCAGGCTCAGGAGACACGGCCAATCATCAGGCTGTGGTTCGCACAAGCTTGACTAAGCCTGGGGTACAGTGAGGGTTAGCTTCAGTTTATTCGCGTCCCCCCCGGGCAAACAAAGTTTCGGAAACATGGGGACAAAGTGCGGGGAAGCGGAGGGTTCGCTACTGATCCAACTCTCCATCGCGCGTCCGCCCCGTAAATCCACCACCACACTTTGGCCCCTGTTGCTGAGAGAACGTAGCTCATCCAAATGTCTAATCTCACATCGTCCGACAGACCAGTGTCAACCAAACCTTGGTCCTCCGGTCGACTGCTGACCCCCGCCCAACGCGAGCGCAAGCGCTACAAGGACAGGGCGTCCAAGCAAGCGAAACAGGAAAAGGAGAAGGAGAGTCTAAGGGGACTACAGAACCAAGTTGCTGCGCTCCACAAGTTACTCCAATCTCACACTAGGTACTGTGGCCTGCCCTACTAGACGCCGAACGCCGTCTTACTCTCGAAGGCTCGGTTCAGGACGTTCTCCCGCGGTGATGTCTCCAGATAATTCCGTTGTGCCCACCTCGAACCTTCACAGCTCCCCACAGGAGGAGCCATTCGCGATACCAGGGTCACAACCATTAGCTGTTACTACCGATGCGGAAACGGCGCCCGCTCACAGAGAACCAACACTCGGAGCTTTTGTGGACGGACAGCCGAGCACTTGGTCAAGCATTGGTCCGTCACTCCAGGAGAGTGGCTGTTGCACGATACTCGAATACACCGACGAAGTCCTCGGCAAATCGTTAGGATTAAGCATCCTGGACATTTGCTGCAGTGACGAACTCAACCAAGACGCTGTTATCTGCGGGGTCCTTGAAGGCTGGCATTTTATAGAGGGCAGGACATATTCATGCCCGCTGTGGAAGATCATCAGCCAGATTGATGAGCGAGTCTTCATTCACAGCGGGATATTGACACGGTTCACAATGCTTAGCACTATCCTCCGAATGCTCGTGGTATGAGTTACTTGCCTGGTGACAAACTCGTATTAGTATATTGACCGTCCTTTAGGCAGTGGTGTATCAAAATAATTTTGGAGGCGTCCCGCCGTGGTATCGACCAAGGTCTGTTGTATTCTCTTGGGCCATTTATAGGTGTACATTGTGCTAATTATCTAAAAGGCCGTCACAGCTTCACTTTCCACATCGTGTAACCGCGGACTACTTCGCTTGGTACATACACACCCTATTTCTGATTCTGCAGAAGGACTAACAGCCATTGGCAAACACAGGCCCGGATTCCGTGAGCGTCTAGTATTCTCAGATTGCGAGATACTCACGGATCGATTCTTCAAGTCCTTTGCCTCGTGCTTCCGATTATCGTGGCCACATTCAATCAGCAGCGCGTATGAAATTCAGCCTGGCAGTGAATTATACTCGTTCTCCTCGAGCTTCAGCCAGCATGTAGTAGACCTTTCAAATTGGACGATGTGCAAGGCTTTCTTTTCGTCATTCCCTGCCTTAGAAGAAGACATGCTATCTGAGAGTGGGATATCGTCTTCTTTGACCGCTCTCGCACTCGATAGTCCATTACCTGTTTTGTCTATTTAGTGCCTGGTATGAGTTTCTCGACTTGTTCTCTTTCCCACGCTACGTCCATAGCGCAGTATATTTTGTATAGGAGTGATGGAGCGTTTTAGTTTGGAAGATGGAGATTCTTTAATAAACCGTCAATCATTACATACAAAGTATCACCTTTAGTCTGGTAGTTGCAGAGCGAATTAGAATAAGAGTATAGACTAGGGGCTGGAGAGGCGATATAACATTCAGATGTTTATTTTTAAGAAGATGAGAAAGGAGACCTCACGCCTTCGCGAACCCAAAGAAATCCTCATCAAGGGCCTTCGCGCACCGTTCGCGATAAGTAGGAAGACCGCCGACGTAGTTCAACGATTGGACTGGCTTCCCCGGGATGTTCGATCCCATGTACCACGATTTTGCCAACGGCAAAAGCGTCATGTTGGCAATCGTATTAACCTCGTTGTTCCACGCGCTCGCGGCGTCAGGGGTGGCTGTGACGCTTCGGATATTCTCCTTCTCCATCTTGGTGATAATAGATGCGATCCAGTCTCCCTGGAGTTCAATTAAAGTCGGTCCATTAGCGAACGCGGTGGGAGCTTGAAGGCTGTATGGGAGGAACATATTTGGGAACCCACTGACGGCCATGCCTAGGTAGGTAGACATGCCGTCTTTCCAGCGTTCGTCAAGCCCAACACCATTCACGTCCTTGAGGCCCAAGCTTAGTAGGCCGCCAGTCACTGCATCGAAGCCTGTTGCCACGGCGATGATGTCCACTTCGTGGACCTTTCCGTCGGTAGTGGCTATTCCGGTAGGTGTGACGTCGACTATTGGGTTGCTCTCGGTATCGACAATGTGGACGTTGGGCTTGTTGAATTGCTCATAGAAGTCCTGTTCGAGAGATGGTCTCTTGGCACCAAATGGGTGCGGGGGCACAAGTGGCGCCAAAAGGTCCTGCTTCTTGGGATCCTGAATCCGCGCACGGGTCTTGCGAGCCCAGAAGCTGTATGCCGCTTGATTAGCCTCAAGGTTGCTAATGAAGTCCTGGTAGTTGTTCTGCCAGAATCGAAAGCCACCCGACTGATACAGACTCTCCCAGAATGCCTCTCTCTCCTCTTCACCGGCGTCGAATGTATTCGTCGGAGTAACCTGATACTCTAGCCCGGCAAAGGTCGTCGCGCACTGAGCCAGGTAGTCCACATAATCAACCTTCTCCTTCACCTGCTGATCTGCATCCAGCTTCTCTTGCCTCATCGGCAGACACAGGTTAGGGGTTCGTTGAAAGATGGTTGCTTCATCAGCTACCTTGGCCCACTCCTGGAAAATCTGCACTCCCGTCGACCCCGTTCCGATAACTGCTATTTTCTTCCCCTTGACATCGACCTCTGCGTCCTTCGGCCAATGGGCCGAATGGTAAACCACCCCCTCAAACAAATCAAGCCCCTCCCACTCAGGCAGGTACGACTTGGAGGCAAACCCCACAGCAACAAGCAGATACTTGGCCATCGTGACCTTCCCATCCGTTGTTCGGATAGTCCACCGCGCAACGCATTCATCAAAAGTCGCCTCGTTAACCCTCGAGTTAAACACACAATCCTTCCGGATCTCCCACACTCCATCGACATGGTCAAAGTACGCCTTTATTTCCTTCTGGCTGGGGTACAACTCCGTCCAGGTCCAGGACTCCCAGACCTTCGGCGACGAATATGCATACAGCGGGACGGGGCAGTCGACTCGGGCCCCAGGGTAACGGTTGTTGTTCCATGTGCCGCCAATGTCGGACTCGGCTTCGAAAATCTTGGCGTCGAGCTTCAGCTCGTCGCGGAGCTTGTGGAGGAGGTAGATTCCCGAGAAGCCTGAGCCGATGATGAGGGCGTCGAGAATTGTTATGGCGTTGCTGGCTGGCATGTTGTATAGCTTGTGAGATGAAGAGAGGTAACTTAGAATAGATAAAGGAGGAAACGTTGGTAGGGAATTGAAATGATTCTTAGGCCTTTCTTAAGTACTACAAGAAACGACAAGATACTGCAATGCAACTTGCCTGTTGCATGAAGTGGCGATACAGGATTTGGATGGGCTGGTGTTGTCAGGTACGATCGCATCTTTATCGCTGACTTTTTAAGTGCGACTCGCACCCTCCTGCGTGGTGGGGATGAACCTGGATCCTCACGCGGAACTCTGCCTCCCGAGGTTTCGTGATTAATTTGGTCATCGATGGGGGTCTGACTCGCTTTCCGGCTTCCCTAGGAAACCGTCTATGCAGTGCTATTGACAAGTTGGGGAGAGCGGAAGAACGTAACTACAATCTCGCAAAAGGTGAAGGCAAAGAACCCGCCCAATCCTAACTGGAGATACGCTGGCTCAAAGATGCGAAAAAGTTTTTGAAGTCACAGATAATCTCCTAGTGCAAATACCAGATATTGTTTCATAAATTCCTCTGCAATTAATGCACCGAGAATACGAGACACAAGTACAGCCAGGACGCCTAATTCAAAGTAAGAAACTACGAAATCACCCAGTTGGTCCCGGCAATCACATCCTTGATGAACTCTCCACTAGCTTCCAGGTCAGGGAAGATCCAAAAATAGTGCGGCAGGTTGGGATAGGTCGTTAGCTTTGTGGGAACACTAAGAGATGCAACTGTTAGAATTGCCTGAAAGAAAGCTGCTGCAGCTCGAGTATGATCTACGCATGAGACCTACCCAGACTTCCTGAGCGCTTTCTCCATCACAGTCCCATCGTCGCGGAGGGGATCCGCTCCACAGGTACAGATATAAGTCGGTGGAAAGTCGCGATGATGGGGTGATAGGGCAGTGAAAATTCTGGAGTCATTTGGATCGGCTTCAACAGCCTCTAGGAGGAATGTGAGCTTTCCAATCGGTCTGGTTTTGGTCGAGGCTGCAACGTACCATAGAATGATTCCATGGAGGACTTGTCAATAACCGGCACATTAACTGCGTTTTCGACGTACGACTTATAGTCCGCTTGGAATTCAGCAGGTACATTTTCCCAGTGCAGAGTACTGGTACTATTGCAACAACTCCCTTTATATACTTCTTTGTGTCGGGCCGCTGCGCGTAATGATTAGCAATGGCGAGGGCCAAACCCCCTCCGGCGCTTCCGCCAATGGAGAAGAATGCATCGCGATCGCCGCCGAGTTGGGAGACATTCTCCCAGGCCTGTTAACAAAATGGTGATTTCGTCAGCATAGTTTCGTTTCAGGATTCAATAGGTGGGCATACCCATTGATATACGGCCAGTGTATCCTGGAGCATAGCCGGGAGTTTGTGCTCAGGGCCGAGTCGGTAGTCTAAGCTGACAATAACGCAGTCCACGGCGTCTGCGATGGCTCGACAGAGCGGATCTTCGGAGACAAGGTCGCCAGAAATAAACCCGCCTCCGTGTGTGTATATCCCAACGGGGCGGGGCGCTCTTTGTGAGACGGGGGTGTAGATCCGACACTTGACCCCTTCAATTGATATATCTTCTATCGATACTTTAAAGTCTGGCGGGGGCGGCTTGCGGCAAGCAGGGTCATAAGACCCTTAAACTGAGCTTGGATATCCTCTGCAGAGCCTTGGAGGACTGGCCGGGCTCCGAGGGCTTGTTCAAGCTATATCATCACCTATTAGTAAATGGTAGAAAGAGGATGGTGTGTAGATCTCAACCTGGAGCCATTCTGCCGTGAGGGTGACCATTATCGCAGGTGCGAAGTTTCTGGATGGAGGTTTAACAAGATGTGGTGGGAAGAGTCACGTAACCAAGGTAAGTGGTCACAGATCTCGAAAATGCTATTACTTGACTTATATCAGAGCCATGTTCATGGGCTTCCAATAATGGGGGTGGGGTCGACGTTGCCGTCAGAGTGTGCGAAGTGCGATTCGCACACCATACCGAGCCTCCTTTTTAAGCGGAACCACGAACTCCCCTCGGGTCTAAGGTATTCGTTTAGATAATCGGGCTAATCTAACGAGTATTCCATGTAACCGCAATGTTAGAACACCGAAAACGCAGCTATTCCCGTTGCTAGTACGATAAAGTCTCGTTCGAAATGACATCCAAGACTCCAAATCAAGCGGAACCAGCCTCCATTGAGAAACCTCATGGCAGTTACCCACACGAGGCCATCTTTGTTAAGCCACCTGCACCACTCCGTTCGTCTGTGCGATCTGGTGGGAGAGGCCCGAGGCAGGAATCGGCTCGAGGTAGAACGGCTGGAGATGGAATCCGCCGGGATAATGCGGGATTTACCATATGTGGCCGTCGTCTCAACCCTCTGGCTGGCGGGTATTTCATTCCCGCCATTTATTTGATGGCTGAAAGAAATTTACTGCCCGAGAACGCTAGCAACGATCTCATAAATCATCTCCGGGTGACTGAAGAAGAGCGCCGTCTCTTCCACACCTGGAGGCAAAGTGCGAACCAGTCGCCAGAAGCAAGCAACCATAAAACAGCGGAATGCAGCTCAACCATAAGTCCAGACATTCTGAGCAATTTTCGAACGACAGATGAGGAGCGTCAGTTTCTTCAGTGGTTGAGGGGAAATTTCTGGTCGGCGGTGTCAGTCGAAGCGTGGGACGAATGTCAGTAAATGTATCTAGCCCCAGCATGTCCTCTAAATTGGTATCGAAAAAAGCCAGGCCACACTCCTGTAAGTACTGGATGTTAAGAACTAAGGGGAATGATTTCCTAGTCTACCAAGTAGGATCTTCCCATCCGGGCTACGAAAACTATGTAAGATCCTGGTTAAAAATTGATTAGAAAAGGCGACTAAAAGTTATACCGGAGCCGTTCGGCAAAATTACCCTCTCTGCAATAACCCCTGTGTGTAGCACTGGAATGTCAAATAGATGAGTGCGTTTCTTGTAGGATAGTCAGATAGTCATGCCTGACTCCACGCAAAGAAGGCCAGCTCACAGGGTATGCACGACGCTAAGTTCCTTCAGTCCGGGTAAGCTTGAACTCAATCCGCCATGCTTCTCCGATTAGGGGAAGTTGAAGCATGGTAATCTGGCTCGCGCACCATCTCCGGAAGTATGAATTGGCAAAAAGTGGAGGTACGAATCGCCCAAGTGTAGGGGAGCGAGTCGCCACCACGGGGCCAACCACGGACCAAAGGAAGATAATCTTTAGTATATGTATATCTACTACTAAAAAGGTAGCTACTTCTAGAACGAGGGACTTCTGCAATTTGCTTCTCTTCACTTTGCCAGCTTGACCGGATCGTTACCTGCCTTGAAGCTCGAAAATCACGGAACATGATGATGATGATGATGATGATGATGATGATGATGATGATGATGATACTCTATTAACCTGATGCAGCCTAACTAGTGGCGTATGGCTATGCAGGCGCTTCGTCCGGCGGAAGCAAGAGCATTCCGAACACCAGCCCACGCGCATGAAACAGTAGATACATAAGAAAACAGCGTTTTGCCATAGTAAATCCCACAGAAACCGTAAACAAACGCCTATGATTATTCCTATAGCCCTCACAGCCCTCTCAGTCTGGCCGCCTGCCTCCCCTATATCTCCATCCCCTGCCATCATACTCTGGTATAGAGTGCGCCAAAAACCGCAAAACCGCAAAACCAAACCGAACCGAACCGCAAATGGTTCTCTCTTGGCACCAAAGGGCAACCCCTAATCGTCGATAAGAGTCGAACTTGACGGTGCGCAAGGGCGGAAACGGCGTCTCTGACAGCAGTTGCCATTGTCGTAGGCCAAATGTACCAGAATCAATCTTGTATGCTTGGGTCACTGGCTCCGGATAAGGTCTTCGCGGCGTTGACCACCTTCGTTCGACTGGGTGTCGGAGAAATGGTAGTCGCTGGGGTCCTCTATTACGGCCGCCACTACTGCTACCACTTGGGTCACGAAAGACCACGAGATTTGCTGCTTGTGCATGGTCGAGATACTCAGTAACGGTGTGGATTTCCTCCGCCTCGTAACGTAGGCTCCACTTGACGAAAGGGTCTCGCTCTTTCATATTTTGCAATCGCGCCACGTCTTCAGCGGGCCAGCCGAGCCGAGATTGGCCACGGGTGCGTAGATCATAGAATAATTGAATTCTCTAGAGGGCGCGGGAAACGCGCTGCGCCTCCTCCTAGACTGGTGGGCCGTAATTGCTGACGGGGACCTTGAAGCTTTCGAATCTTTGAGTCCACGGCGGAGTCTTGTTGAGGTCCATTGAATATCGAGTCTTAGGATCGACTATGTTCTCCGGTCGGAGAGCATTGAATTTTTCCAAGTAGTGATCAAGACAGGCTATAGTCAAGTGTACTATTTGTGCGTATATAGAGAGAACCTGGCGGATTGTCGGGATACGAGTGTTGTTAGGCAAGTCGTTCGGAAGGGGTAGGCCTGTCGGGCTTGGTTCGCCTGGTCGTTGTGGGCGTACATCTTTGACCGTTACATGAATGAAGCCGGCGATAAAGGCACCTAGGCTCGGACATAGAGAGGTGGAAGAGTCGAGCATGGGGCCACGAAGGATATTGATTCCCGGATTCGATCACACATGGTGTCTTTAGAGAAGACGGCGCGGGTGAGCTGAAGGCCATCGCGGTCGAACAGGCGGGAGATAGCAGGCGATGCGCATAGAAGGCTGTACAGGGATGTGCAATCATCAAGACGAGAAACAATGTCGCGTAGAAGCTCGAAGGGCAGTGTCTCCATCTTCATAAATTTAATGATGAGGGGTAGGTAGGGAAAGAGCGATCTAACACACTTTGATTAGAGGCCATAACGTAAGTCATAGCCACCCTCCGCCATTAGCAATCTTTAAAGGAAGATATCTCGACCAACTTCATATAGAATTACTCTATAGAGTCGACTGAATTAGGGTTCGGCTTTGCTATAAGATTTTATATCTAGTACTTTAAGAATATAAATACTAGGTAGGTATTCATAGGAAAAGATATAAACGCCCAATAATCAAAATTTCAGAGAGTCTCAAGCGCTAAACCCCATTCAAACCTCCTATATCTGGGAGTAACCAGGCCCCCCAGAAAAGTCTATCTACGAATCCTAGCATACCCATACCGACACCCATCATGAAGTCTCGAGTCCGTATTTCCATCTACAGCATCATACAGCCCATTATTAATGCCGTCGACGTCCAAAGCGACCTCGCATCTTTTGAACCCGATCAGGGGACGACGTACTCGAACTGGCTTCCCCGTCTCATCTGATCTCATTCGATCGGTGCAGATCGATGGATGTATGGCGATCAGTAGGCCGCATGTTGTGACGAGCCCGATCCAGACACATATTTTGCCGACTATTGGGAGGTAGTCGGTTATCCAGGCAAAAGTGAACGATCCGATGAAGATATATGAGTAGAAGAAAGGTTTATAGTATGGAATTGTGTAGTATATATTATATGGTTTTCGCGAGCGCTCGTCGTTTCCGGCGTCTTGGGAGTTGTTGGGGAGTAGGCAGGCGTTGTCTGACATTGTAAATTTTTTTTAGGAAGATAGATAGAGGAGTGCCAATAGACTGGTAAGAGGAAGGAAAGAGGAAGGGTGATTAAGCTGGAGGTCAAATTAAGAAACGAGGCGGGGCAATAATCAGCAAATAAGTGGCCAGTTTCACTACAAAATATTAGGAGGGATCAGATCCTCCACCGACCTATTATTAGTCCATAACAGCCTCTTATTTCTTCGCTATATAAAAATCACGCACCTGAAATTTCACCGTCCCCACAGTTCTTGAATTTAACCACTAGGACCCTTAATCATCCAAGACATGGGTGGGGGCGTGATATCATGCTATATGCAATATAACAAGGGGTCCAAACTGGACAAGCCATAAACTAGGCTTTAACAGAGAATAGTCCCTGCCTAGATGATCATCTCATTGGCGCTCCAGACAAGGCTGACTTGACTATATGGGCTTCCTCAAGTCCGCAGACCAACAGCGTACGGAAAGTGTATGAGCAACAATTGGAACAAATCCTGAGCCCCATCACAACTCAGGCTCTAGGGAGTCTTGTCGTCTGAGGAGCGTATAACGAAGATGGGCGCCAAATTTAACTTATAAAAGGTCCCTCAATTTCGTTTCTTCGCTCATACAGCAATCTCATACTCCCTATCTTTATTTCAGCCGCCATGGTCCGCATCTTCCCAGCCTTGATCGCTCTCTCAGGTCTGACTCTCGTCGTGGCTAATACCAAATGGACCCCGAAGACTTTAACTGGGACAATCTCATTTGCAACGACACCGTCGCGAGTGGCCTTTGGATGAACAGAAATGAGACACCCTCAACCACAGACCTCTCGCTGCTCCTAGACCATCACCCCACCAATGTCAATGTGGTCCAAAACTCCTAGGTCGCTGTCCTGGCTGTCCTTGGCTGGGCCTGGAGAGCAGCTAGTGTCGCTGCTGCTGGTATTGGCTTGAAGAATACCATCTAATCCTGCAAGCAGACTGCTAACGGTGATGCTGGTTGGGGTCCCTGTATTGAAGGCCTCTTCACTACCGTCGTTAGCTTCGGTGGTGTTGCTTCTGCTGAGAGGAAGCTTCTCCATAGGGGTGGTCGGTTGATCATGCCTGATCGGTTCCTTGAGGATGGGACTGTGGATTTGGTGAGCCTTTTCTTATTTTATATGACTAGATGGAAACTAACTGACTTAATAGGAGATGAATATCCTCACTAGACGCGATACCGACGCCTAGAGCAACTACGACGATTTCGTTTACCGTCAGCTCCGTAGCCTTTCCTCCCGCGACCATCGTCTCGCGGAAAAGGACTTTGGTAACCACCCTCTCGTACCGATGTTCCGATTCGATCACTTTAAGCACGGCAGTATGGAAATGACTACCCGCGACACTATGAACGGTACCTTCGTCACTGCTACCTACTCGGCCATCCTACCCATCTGCTAGGCCGTCGCTAGATTGAGGATCTCAGGATCCGTATGAAGCGTCAGGAAGTGTATGATAAGGAGGCACTGGATACTGGTGTTCTTGAGGCCCGGTTCGATGCTGATGCCTCTAAGCCGACCCTGCCTCCATCAGCGCTGATGCTGGAACTCTTTTCAACACCTTCGAGCCCGAAGTTAGTTGCTTTATGGCGGCAATGTGAAGCATAACAGTGTCCTAGATGTCCAAATGTATGATAAGACGAACAGAGCTACATTTGGCTTTGGTATGTATTCCATTCTTGTCTATTCCTCTTTAGTTTTGCTGATGTACTTAGGCACGATTGGGGTGTACACCAACGATGATGATGCGCATTCCGTTGAAGATATGGAACCTGCAGGCATGCCTTTGAGCTAATGCAAGTAAGGATGCGTTGATGGCAGGATTTGTTTGGTATATCGAATGGATATTAGATGGTTTTAGTAGATACTCGTTCAGAATAGTAGTGGATTGCATTTCCGATACGGCACCGCAAAAGCGTTCAACGATAGTCGTGAGTGACACATTGTACCGTATAAAATTCTTCGGCAAATGCTTATCTAGAGAGCAGAACTGCTGTTGCTAGAACGACCAGATTATCGCTTAGGCGGTGCTTCGCCGCCAATAGGGGTTGCTACTAGAGTTTAGTAGACTTCCGCACGACCTAATATAACCCGGACCCGACCCGGACCCAACCCGGGCTGGGTTGGGTTTTGGGTCGAAGACTCCGACCTAGCGTTGGGTCCGGGTTACGGTTGGGCGACCTAGCCTGGGTCCGGGGCCCCAACTTGGCCGCCAACCTGCCGATCGGAACCAGCACCTTTTAAAAGCTGGTCTATAGAGCGCTTAATAAGCTCTAGGGTAATTGTAGTATATGAATGCCGTAGAGTTTGGATCCAGGATACTAATGCTTTTTCTTACATTAGATTTAATGCCTTGCCTGGATTAATACGCGTCGCATTAGGCTGGCGCCCTTTGACGCGACCGCGTAGACGATCGATGGGAACCGCGAATTCCCGCGCCAATTTGGTTAAATTGGGTTTATCGCTTTACTTGTAGGCAGCTACGGACTGCTTGGTTCTTATTTCGACATTTTCATTTTGATCCGACATCCTAGGGTGGTGTAAAATGGGTAGGAAATTGATAAAGATGGAAAATCCGGTGTCTGGTGGGCTGTGCCACGATTGGTACATGCATGGATCTCCAGTCATCACAAATAAATAGAAAACCACTTATTCAGCGCTTCAAACCTCCCCTCCTCAGTTTCGAATGAATCAATGATCCTCGTTCTCCCACCCATATTCAACTTGACGACATTGTTAACCATCATAATCTTCCCAGCGACAAAAACATCATCAGTTTTCCCCAATACCTCTCCCTCCAACAAAGGCAATCCTGCCATCTCCCCGTTTCGAATGAACTTGACAACAATGAGACTGCGTTTTTGCACAGCGTCCCAACTGGTGAATCGATTCATAACTTCAAAATCATCCTGAAAAAACTCCAGTTCCGCAAACGAATAGAAGGAATTCCATGGCTTATCCGCAGCATTGCGATATTGGTATATCCAGACCTTCTGCTCTCTGCGCATCTGCTTTGGCATATTATCGTAAACCAATCGCACTTCCTGTGAGCCCAGGTTCTTCGCAATCTGCCCCGAGATCAGCGGCAGGGGACTTGTTGGCCCGTCTCCGCCGAACGCTGCGTCTAGATGGTACTCTACCCCACTAGGTAGACGGACGATGTTGACAATGTGTGTCCTTGTTTCACCGATTAGTCGTCTTGCTTTTATGGTATAATGTGCACTTTGTGGTCACTGGTCTTGTGGTGGATGATTATCTTACCATCCCTTGAATTCCCCTTGCGGTATACCATCTATCCGGTCGCGATTCCGAACGCCAGTCATGTACACTGAGAATCCTAGGCCGCGCAGCATGTGGTGGAAGAAAATGCTTACTTCCAAACAGTAGCCTCCTCGACAGGAGGGGTTTGTGTCGTCGCATCCGAGGACTTTGGTGTAGATCTCGTCGGGTTTGATCTCTGCTAGTTGGGAAGCGGAATAATGGCATGTCAGGTTGTCGTATGGGAATCGAGTGATCTGACACCGGAAGAGATATGTCAATGCTTCTTCTGTCTTGGGGAATGTTTCTGGCTCGTTGATATATCTTGCGTATTGATCTGGTAGAGCGATGTAGTTCAGATACTTTGTTAATTGCGCCGGTGTATAGGCGGAGGCCAGTTTTTGGGTGTCCATCTTGGCAATTCTCTAGTAAAATATGCAAAGGATTTGCCTATTCCATTTAAATATTCATATCGTGATGTTGTAGATCCAAATCCGAAATAGAACAAAAGGGTCCACGATAGCCACGTGACTCATAGCCTCAAGGGACATGGGTTAGTGCCAAGATAGACAACGACCCAACAAAGTGGAATTGAGTTTTGTGAATCCTCATCTGAATCTGTGATTGAGCGAGATTTTACAATGGTTGGCCTGTGTGCTCTGTTTAGTCTACACTTACTATAGCAAGTGCATGCGAGACGCGGTCGACTAAAAATAAAATACCGACCATGAATAACATAAGCCATTCAGGGCACGGATTAAGATGTTATAGAAAGTATCAAGACTATATGTAGAGAACCAAAGATACGTGTCAACAAAGTATGAGGGGTGGCAAAGGGGAATCAGGTATGAAAAAAAAAAGCTAAGAGAAAAAAAAAGAATGGCGCAGGGGAATGTCACAGACACTCTATCTGCAACTCCTGTGAGACGCCAGGCCGATGTCCCCGGTGAGCGTCTGTAATCTGCGGTGTCAGAGGTCTTCTCTGCACAACCCGTTCCTCCGGGTCTAAATGATCGATCCTCATGCCGATGGGAACCAGAACCTGCCTCTTTGACCGAGAGACAGAGACAGTGCGTGCTGTCGAGACCTCAACCCTTGGGATAGGACGTCGAGGCTCGGGCACAGGCTCAGGCTCCTGTTCAGCGGTATCAAAGGTCTCAACGGCATCGGTGAATGGCATGCGCATGGAATCTGCTGGCGAGACGCCCGATCTAGGAGACACGCCGGATCTAGGACCAGTTGAGGCTGATAATGGGGACATGATTCGGTCAATCTTGTCCTGGGTCGGGTTTAACGCTGAAGGAGAGCTTCGAGATGGACTGCTAGACAGTGTGTCCTTTGCGGGTGGATGTGGTCGGCCTGCGGTTTGAACTGTGAGACGCGGTCGCACTGAGTCGTTGGTTCTGTGGTGGTTTGGTGTCTTATTGGGCTGATGTTGTGTGGTCTTGTTTTGTGGTGAAGTATCCCGAGGCTGCCTTTCTGGTGCTCGCGGCAGCGAATCCTTTCTTGGCTGTGGATGGATCCGTGGCTGAGCCACCGGCCTTGTGACAACATCATTGTGCGATTGGACGCTCTTTTGTGGCCGAGTCTTCTGCGGGGATGGGGTTTTCTTTTCTGGCTGAGATCTCTTCTGTAATGGAGTAGATGTAGTCTGTGGCTCCGGCTTGATGGCAGGAAGGGGCTTGTCATAACTACTGGAGGACCGTGGGGTGTTGGAACGCTCAGAGAAAAGCTTCGGAATGACTGGTGACTCGAACGATGACATACTGCCCATATTTGAACAATGACGGAGCTGTGGCGCAGGCATTTTCGACGGGCTTTCGATTGGGAGCGTGTTTGCTCTCATCAGTTGGCTCGGTCCACGGGAGAAATTCTGTGTGCCGAGTAGCTGGGCCGCTTTTGAAGGCTGTGTAGTTGGAAATAAGGTGAAGTTTGATTGCGCTGGTGATGTTGCCCGACGTTGCGGTATTGGTGGTGCTGGTGATTTCAGGAAGCCCTATCTCAGTGTATCGGTTAGTCTCATACTAGTCTCCAATCGATGAAAATCCATACATTTGCATCAGGCACACGGAGATTGTCCAAAGTCTTGGCCCTCCTGGCCAGCAGTGAGGGTTTTTGGTTCTTGTTGACGACATTGCTGAACATGACACTGTAACGCTCCATCTGAACCTCTGGGATGTCTACACTCAATAAGAGGCCCCGGGGGCTTGGTTCATGCTTGGGTGGCTTGTTGCCGTGTGAAAGCGTCCGACTCCGCTGGGGAGTTCGATCTCTTCGACCAGGGACCTTCCTGGGCTCGATCTCAATTTTCGGCCACTCCTCCGTCGAGTTCTTTCTCAATCTTGCTTTCTGCGGCTTCTCTGGCAGTTTATAGTTGTGGCTCTGTGGCTTGACTTCGCTTTCTTGTGCGCTATCCGGAACCGGTGTAAGCGCATTCTTTGCCTTGAAGAATCCACCAATCTTCTTCCACTTGCTGGGCTTATGGGCTGAGTCTCTTTCCGCAAAACTGGACGTATCAAATCTGGGTGGCGGTAGAGGCCCGTCTTTGTTCAACATGCCGGGACTGCCCAGCGCAATGCCAATCATGTGTTGCTCGGTTTGGGTACGGCCTGATCGGGTAGTTTGAATGGCTTCATCTGGTGGTGTGCTTATGCTAAAGTCGAAAGTTGCGCCTTGGTCCGGCGGTGGCTTTCTGAACCACCCATCTCCCGTAGCGGGCTGGCTGAAATCCCACTGTCCAATCATTGGCTGAGCTGGTTGCTGAGAGTCCTCATCAAGAGAGTGAAGGTCGTTCCGTGGCAAGGCATCGGTATAGGTCAAGACAGGAAACGAGATGGTCTCCTTGGGTTGGGTACGAGACTGGACTGCCGTCATACCCCGTGCCATCTCTTAGTACATGTAGTAAGTATATTGGAATCCAGCCGATATGCGATAGAAAGTAAGTGTAAAGAAAAAGAAGAAGAAGAAAAGTAACTGAATGATATTAAAACAAAATCTCAGGTAAATATGAAGGAGATGGGCCTTCCAGAAGGCCAACAAAAACCAAAGAAAAACAGATCAACCATGAAACAGAAGGGTATCGCCCAGTATATTAATGAAAAGGAAGAAATAAATTGAGTGGAGCAATCATAGGACCATGTAAATAATGAAATACTGAGACAAATTAATTGCAACTCCATCCTAAATCTACTAGAGGTGTCCAGTCTGGGACTGAACCAACGAAACATAAGAAACCAAGCCCAACACTCGCAAACTTCTTTTTCGGAATTTGAGGGGTGTTTCAGCGCTAACATCAAGCCCGTGTGAGATGCTTATTTCCCGCGGGACGAATGAGCGCATCGGTCGCGGATTGATTAGCTCGCTACCACGTTGGAAAGGGGAGCCAATGCAGGAGGCGTGTTTCAGCTGGCTGAAATTGAGACAAGGGCGCTTTATTCTGCGTTTTACCCTTGAATCAGGGGGCGATTCAGCCGCTGGAGTAGCATTGAAAGGACTTGTCCACATATGCACAGGTCATGGGTCTGGTAAATTCTCCGACTTCGCATTATGAGTCGCCAACGCGATGTGATGCCAAGCATGTCTCTGGTTCCAATGGTATGTTGAAGGTGCCGGATATTAACCGAGACAAAGTGGTCCTCCAGGGCTAAAAAGAGTTAGTTAAGTTAGTTAACTAACTAACTACGGAGTAGCGGTCAAGTCATTTGAAGTTCTGAGATTCAGGCATTCAGGCAGAAAGGCAGCAATCGTGATGAGTCCCGTGACGATCGACGGTACATGAAGTGACTGAGCTGACTGGGCTGGACTGGACTGGTAGCGGGATGCTGTATGTATGTCATACATATCCTTTGACATGAGTGTTTTGAATTGACATCCATGGATATCCAAAAAGTTGCTGAAGTCAAGCTATTCTGTATATTGTTGACGTCTCCCACCGCTACTTGGGATAAGAGAATATCAGACTAGGCACACCTACACCCTACGTAGATATTATAACATACTACCTAGGCATAGACTAAGTGAATACGTAGGATATTCGAAGACAAATCAACTAAATACACAACAAATATAAGCTTGTTATCCCAAGTCAGTTCGCAAACGGTGGGATCGTCATATGGCGGGGTCCTCTCCCGACCGCCACGACTTCTTCTCCCCCCACTAACTCCTCTTCTCCCAGCTCTCCTTTTTCTGTACATTCAAAAGGTGCGCACTGTCTATCACTTATTCTTCTATTGTCTGACCTCTAACTCAATCAACTCCAGCGTTGTTGTCTCAGCTTCTTTACAGTCATCATGGGCGAACACTCAGCAATCTGGCAAGGTATGAATCACCTTGGAACTGCCAACTGCCGACTGACAGTTCGACCCTTGCTTCTTCGAGTCCGCTAACACGAGATTTCTCCTTGAACTAGGCTATGTGGACTCCAGGTACATCACCGTCATCCCCGACCCCTGATATGCCCCTCATTGTTACCAACCCAAATCATCTCATCATGTTTATCCTATAAATATACTGACGAGCTTCCTTTCCCGCAGCCTGATGGGCTCGGGTCAATTTGACAAGGCTGGTATTCTCGCCGCCGACTTCTCCGGTCTTGAGGCTGCCTCGCCCGGCTTCACGGTAAGCTCGCCTGTTGTTCTTCCTCGTGCGGGGTGGGGTCACGGACTTCGACATAGTCGCTAACGTTATTGTTTGTCGAAATACAGCTCTCCCAGGAGGAGATCAACTCCCTGATCAGCGCCTACACTTCTAGCGACAACGCCTTTGCCAATGGTGTCTCTGTCTGCGGTGAAAAGTTCGTAACCATCAAGGCTGATGAGCGCAGCGTATATGGCAAGAAGGTAAGAATGCCCATTCTCCTCCTAAAAAGTCCCGCGCTATGGATTGATAGAATCTGTGCTAATCTCTTGATGTGCGATATAGGGTAAGGAGGGTGTCGTTATTGTCCGTGCCTCCTCTTGCACCATCATCGCCCACCACAACGAGAGTGCCCAGACCACCAACGCCGCAACTGTTGTTGAGAACCTCGTCGACTACCTTAACAAACCCCAGTAAATTGGAAAATATCCAACGATAACTAAATGATGTGATGAGTTGTGGGGTTTGTGAAGAATAGGAAATAAAGGAGCATTTGACTATTTTTCTCTTGAGCCCAGCGTGCTGTTTCGCTTATGCTTCTTTTCTGGCTTCTGTGACTGGATCTCTTTGCCTCAATGGGTCACGTCGATCTAGATATGGTCCCCAATGCACAACATGATACGAACCAGATTTGTATGATGCACAATGTAATTTGTCTATCCTATTCTAATATGCATATTAACTGAGTACCAGCTGTTAAGTTCTGGAGGATCAATAAGGTCATTATTAATTACATAAAGCTGAAGGCCGTAGGTAGGTGGATCGTACCTTCCCGTGTCACATGTATAGCACAGCGTACTTGGACATCTCCAACCAGGGTGATGGGGCCTCTGATATCTCACAATCGTACATGACAGAGTCCGGATATCCGAATTTGGGGACACCATCTGGGAACATAATCGCTAAGTCCCTATTTGTGTATACTCATACAGGAAGCTCGGCATTACTCCTCCCACCAGCAAGCACCTCCAGCCCACGCTGGATATACGGGCCTATCACAGGGATGTTGCCCGCAAATTGACCGATCGTGACAAGGAAGTCGCCAAACAGGATGAACAAGCCGTAGAGTTCAATCAAGAACCCAGTCAAAGGCCAGCGGAAGAGAATAAGGAGGATACCAGCGGCGAAAGCAGCGGTGCCCTTGAGTTTTTGCGGGCGCGTAAAGAAGACCATGGTCTTCTGGACACCGATAATCAGGGTCAATCCGACGAGGAAGAGGATCTGGGATTGTTAGTTAAATGTGTGGCAATTTTGTTGCAGCATGTGGCGTACATTTCCCATAGCAAGTCTATTAAACGAGTATTAGCATTTGTTTCCCTTCCAAAAAAAGCGAAATATCGGTATAGACATACAATGACCGATCAAAGAACATAACTACTCCTCCAAATAGGAACAGGCCTCCTAATCAGCAACAAAATTGGTTAGTTCTCGACCCAGGTGATTGGTGCTTTGGGAGCGAGCGCCGATCTCATACCGGCTGAGCAGAAGATCACACCGATCTCTGTTATATAGATTAGCATATGCTCGACAATTGCTATACATGCACTTTCATGGCAGTGAATAACAGCTTGTAAAATGGATGCGACTGACTCTGGTTCTCTGATAACCACATGCTAGGCATCTTGTTTGTTTTGAGTTCGACTCTTGATGATATATATTGGACCAAGAGTTGCGCAAATATTCTCGATGTAGATGTTACAGCACGCGACACTGCGGTTTTGGTGGTTGTGGAATCGGTAGGGCAAGAGGCCAGGTAGATGCGGCGGAGACAAAGGGGAGATATGGCGTGGTTTGAAATCCGGTAATAGCGAGTCTTTCGTTGGAAGGATATCCTTAGGAGCTTAGAAAGTCCTCGACAAAGATCAAAACGTAGCAAAAAGCCCCCAAGGCACGTAAACAGAAACTCGAAAATCACAATTCTGCCGCGTAATCAGCGCCAAGTCAGGAATGGTAGGCGGTAACTCTAAAGTGCTTATATCGCGCACTGATCATTCCATCGTTCCTTTTCCTTTACAGTCTTCTCCAATTTATTGGCAATTGAACAAGGTCATTAATGATGTGATGTTTCCAATTGCGTAGGTTTTTTTCAGTTCCAAATCTACTGGTATTGAGACACAATATTGAGCATAGCTCAAACATACTCCTCCCCGCTATTGCAGAATCTTTCTCTACATGTATTTCACATGCCACGCCGCGACGACAGTCTCTTCGGATTCTGTAACTGGTGCCCTGTCCCATGGGGTGTCGGTAATAGTTGAGTGCTTATGCACAAGGCGAAGATCGACTCATTGATCACGAATAAGCCGGAGCGTTTTCTTGAGCCTGTCTCGAAAGGGGCATGGTGGGGTGGAAAGGGCTTGACTGTGTTGGTCGTACATAACGCTTCTTGGCGATTTGTATTTGTGTCTAGTTGAATTTATTAGTAGAGTCCTTACTATCCAAATTCGTTCTTGTATGACATACCCATTCTTGCATGATCGTTCGTTTGGGGATTGAATAAAGTAGGCTTCTTGCCACTCCTTTACTTCAGAATGGTGTGCGCCCCGCGCGCTTCCAGGTAGTTTTCGGGAACACCCTGAGCCAGAGTCCGGATCACCTTGAAGATCTCCTTGTCGTGATACCGCAGCCGGGTCTTGGGGTCGGTGTACGGTCCGCTCAGGCCCGTGATGTCGCAGTAGTGACGCCGGTAGGCAGGGTTAAATGATGGGGCCGACTCGATATTCGTGTAGGTGACGGCGGGCCCAGTCTGGAATGTGGCCCGGGCATTCTTCTCCAATACGAGAGTCGAGAGGTTTTGGGTGGCCTGGGACAGGTTGGGTGCAGCCCCTTCCGCGGGGGTTTGTGTACCATCGGTGACCACGCCCGAGATGCCCGGTGTAGTTGCCCCTGAGTTGGCTTGAGTTGCCATCACTGATGCCTCCTTCCGGGAGGCCTCCGAGATAATCTGCTTGAGGTTCTTGTTGCGTCGCTGGGACGGTTTCCAGTGAGGGTTGCGGAAGGGCTTGGGGACATGTGAAATGTCTAAAGTGTTCAACAGCTGCTGGTGGGCTTCATCGTTGGCAGGGGCTGGTGGAGGCATGATGTTGAATATGATTGAGGCCACCGGTCTGTCAATTGGGAGGTTGAGGCGGAAACAGCTCTTGCGAAGCTTGGCTGTGTGGATGAAAGTATCAAGACCGGGGTGGGGATGGGAATGATCAAACGATATTAGATTCCTGAGTTGGGAGCACTTGATTATATAGTATAGCTCACTTAAGGAGGGATCCCAAACGGACAAGGTCAGGTCAACGTAGAAAGCAATGCAAGTAGTATCTCCGGCCCGCGAAGTCTGTATAGCCGCACGTGATCTCATCCCGATTAAGCCCAAATAAACACCTTAACGTGCAAGACTCACATAACATTTCTCAATATTTAGCCATGGTATGTGGTTTATTTTCCATACGTTGGATTTGACACGTTCTGTAAGATCCCAGATGCTGATATCTCCTTAGGAAAGCCCCCACGAGCATCAGCAGACGGTGCTGCTCTCTCGCATCATCACCAACGTTGTATGTCATGATCGAACCACACCTGCAAGGTGTACTCTGCTCATTTTCATATAGGAGAAGCTCAATGAAGCCATTATGGTCATGAACAAATGTCTCCAGGTAGAGTTGAGCCTCTCTCATTGATATGATCATACTATTGACTCCCGATCGCAGGAGGTCAACATCCAGAACATGAATGTTGAGCTTGTGGCACAGATGTTCAAGAACTACCAGTCTAATGTTCTATTCCACCTTGAAGGTATACATTCCTCCATCATCTATCGACCTTAGAATTCTCTACTAACGCCCTACAGCCACGGAGAACCTCCAAGACCCATCCTAAAGAATCCTAAGGTTGAACAAATTCCTATAACGAAGAAATGTGTGGATGAGCCTACAACTAGTCAATGATACTTGCTTCTATTCAATAGCCAAATGTATATTGTTGTAATCATTGCATCCCTGTACTCTGCACTCCGGACGAGATAGCCTCCATTCTTGGCGGTCCAACTCCGCCAAACCTCATCAACCGCGTTTGCGTCGTTTGCCGCTTTGTCAATCCGCTGCCCTTTCCACGGGTCCATTGCTTTCCTCCTATCCCAACTCATTTCCCATGCAGTGAGCCCTACTCGCCATTTACGATCTCCGATCCCAATAGCTCCTAGTTTCCGGAGCGCAGCCCGCCATGACGATTACCTCCGTGCACACCCTCCTACCAGCTCGGATTGCATCCAATGCCACTGAGAAACGAACTGAGAAGCCTCCTCCAGAACTCCAGAGTGTACAGGACTTTCCATTCAAAGGCTATCACCCTCCTCAACCCGAGGGATATCAGCAGAGCAAGGCCCATCCTGACACCAGTGCTATCGTCATTGACAATGGTAAGGCATTCCAGCTATTTTGCAATTCAACCCTCCTAACAAATATGGTTTATGTGCAGGTTCACACCTCGTCAAAGCCGGTTGGTCTTTTGACAAAAGCCCCCGATTCGCTATACCTCCTGTCATGAGCAGATACCGTGATCGCAAGCTCAATCGCCAGTGCCAATTTATCGGATACGATGCCTACGTCGATGCGACCACGAGGGGACAACTGCGCAATGGCTTCGACCCGGGTTCAAGTGTTGTCGGTAACTGGGATGTCATGGAAGGCGTGTTGGACTATTTGTTCCTCAAGCTGGGCGTGGACGGTGCAGATGGGGGCGTCGCCCGCCCGATCTTAATGACAGAGCCAATCGCCAATATGGCTTATTCAAGGAAGAGTGAGTATGTGGCGGTTCCAGGGCCAGTATGATGGTTGCTGACACTCCTTCAGTGATGAATGAGATCCTCTTCGAGTGCTACTCTGCGCCATCAGTGGCCTACGGTGTCGACTCCCTTTTCTCCTATCGCTATAATGGAGGAACGGACGGTTTGATTGTGGATTCATCGCATACATCCACTCATGTCATTCCGGTCATGAACTCGAAACCCATGTTCTCCAACAGCACTCGTCTCAACTGGGGTGGCCTGCAGAATGCCGAATACCTAATGAAGCTCATGAAGCTGAAGTACCCGACCTTCCCGACTCGTCTGACGGACGCACAGATGGAGGAAATGGTTCATAACCACTGCTACGTCTCACAAGACTATGATCGCGAGTTAAATGGGTTCCTCGACTGGACAGGACTCGAGGACCGTGACCGCGTCATTCAGTACCCGTTCACAGAGCATATTGTGCAGGAAAAGACTGAAGAAGAGCTCGCACGGATTGCGGAGCGCAAGAAGGAGAGCGGCCGTCGCTTGCAAGAACAAGCCGCAAGAATGCGACTTGAGAAACTAGTCAAGAAGGAGCAAGAGCTGGAATACTGGAAAGACCTGCAAAACAACTTAGCCAACGAGACTAAGAAGGAGATTCGTCGCATCCTGGAAGCCGAGGATTTGAAAGACGAGGCTGCACTGGAAAAATTGATTCGCGAGCTAGAGAAATCTATCAAACGCTCGCGCAACAAGGATCTAGGCATTGAAGAGACCGAGGAGCAGCCTGAGGAAATGACATTCCCTATGCTCGATATCCCAGACGACCAACTTGACGAGGCCGGATTGAAGGAAAAGCGGCACCAACGTCTCATGAAGTCCAACGTGGATGCTAGACTGCGTGCCAAAGAAGAGAAGGAGCGCGAAAAGGCTCGTATTGAGGAAGAGGAGCGTCTAGACCGTGAGACGCGCGAGAACGATTTCGAGAACTGGATTGCAAAGCGCCGCAGCAATCGCCAGGTATGTCGGCCAGACATGACATTTTAAATTCCCGTGCTAATATTTCTTAGGGCATCCTACAAAGAATCAAAGACCGTGACCGCTTCACGGCTGATCTTGGAAATCGCAAATCTCTGGCCAGTCAGATGCGTATGAAGACGCTGGCCAACCTGGCATCCGATGGTCCTAAGAAACGCCGTCGCGGCGGGGATGACGATGACTTCGGTGCCAATGATGAGGACTGGGGTGTTTACCGCACCGTGGCTGTTGGCGAGGGTAGCGACGATGAAGAGGAGGAGGATCTCAACGGAATGCTCGACTCTGTAGAGAAGGAACTCCTCGAGTACGATCCCGAATTCAGCGAGCACCACACTTTCGCGGCCCAGTCCGACTGGACAAAGAGTCTTGTGCACGCGTTCCTTCGCGGGCCCTGGCCTTTCGATCCAGAAAGCCAGCGGGAGGCACATCAGCTCCATCTGAACGTTGAGCGTATCCGTGTTCCTGAGGTTGTGTTCCAGCCGTCCATTGCGGGCCTTGACCAGGCAGGTCTGATCGAGATCGTGGCGGATATCATTAACCAACGCTATACCAACCCAGCAGACCAGTCCCTTCTTTTGAAGGATGTGTTCTTGACTGGAGGAAATACGTTGTTCACCGGTTTCGATGAACGCTTCCGTAAGGAAGTCCGCGGGTTCCTGCCCGTCGACGCTACACTGAATGTACGCAAGGCATCGGACCCTGTCTTCGATGCTTGGAAGGGCGCGGCACAGTGGGCTTCTGGTGGTGACCTAGGCCGATCCTCGGTCACGCGGCAAGAGTACATGGAGAAGGGCAGCGAATACATCAAGGAGCATGAACTTGGCAATGCTACGTGGTGAGGTTGAAAAAGAGAGTTCTGAAAACACCTGCTTGGGCGCACTGGAGTCGAATGGTCTGCTTATCTGGCGCGGTATAGGGGATGTTTATTTGATACTTAAAAAGCTGCTATTGCAGAGTCTCCGGCGGTAGTACGCGAAATATGACATGTTCAGCCCTTCATATGAACAACTATAGCTATGCTAATAGAGTCTGTGTTCCCTTAATCCAACCGTCCTTCCCTTTGACTCCTCTCACTCCCGTCAAATCTCACCATTATCTCAACCTCTGTGTCTCAGATAATGGCGGAGACAGCAAGAGTCGCCTATTTAGCGTTTCTGCAGCCGTCACTCCATCGTTCTATCAAATAAATATAAGTCATCTATACATCCTGGTGGCAAGGGACCCGCAGTATTCATTCCCCAGAGTAAGACATGCTCCTTGCATCTATCAATGATGTTTAAAGTTGGGGGGCTGAGACATCTCCATGCATGGCCTCTGGGGTAATTCATGTCATGGCTGTTTATGTTTGATGTCAGTAGCTTCCAATGACCAATAAAAGGCAACAGCTGGTATTTTGTTCTCGGCTATGTCGGAACATTCTTGCAGACCAGTCCATCCACGACATAATCAGTCGAGGACAGCAATGCCGTACGGACGAATATGATCTATCGCACTAGTTACACGACACAATGGTGTGGCCGTCACTGGCGCTTACAATTTTTAACAATCAACAATAGAACCATAGTTGTGCCTCGCTTGAATATTGTGAAGCTTGCTGATCCAAGTCCAAGTGAACAAAGGGATTGTCACTATCCCTGGATAAAGAGTGCATTGAACAAAGCTTTAATAAGGCTGATGCCACTGTCGATCATGGCCCACGCAGGGAGAACCCCGCTATTGGGTGATGCTGTAGATCATGTTGTTCTTCTGCCTCGCTGGTTATGCACTGGTGGTGCAATATACCCATCCTCGTTCTGATTGGCACTTGGTAACCATCACATCACGAGGTTGACCGGACGTTGGACTATCTTCCGCAGGCTGCCGACTGGGCTTTTCGTTTGTTTGACGTGATTAGTTTTCTTCATGTAAACCTTGGAATTGATTTTGAACTATCTCCTTGCGTAGAACATGACATCGCTATTGCCATTGGCGTAGATATTGACTTCGTATAAAACAGAAGTAAATTGAACTTACTGCACGATATAGTTCGAATAGCTACACAAAGTAAAAGGTAAACATAATCTCCAATTGCCGCTTCGAAGAATCTGCAGTAATAGACGGTGCCAGAGTCTGGGCCAGACATGATTCTGACTTCATGCAGAGGCCATCATGACGCACCTGGGGAGTTCTTGCTTTTCATCCTTGCTGGCCCTGGCCCTGGACTGTAAATCTTGTTGCATGATACCTGGCGTCAGTCTTGTTTGTTTGCTTTGTTTAATGATGGTTCCTGGAACCAGTGATGCTGGGATGATCTGCTCCGAGATATAAAATCCTGCTCCCTGCTCTGCCGTGGTTGATTCTTTTTTTTCCTCGCTTTTATTTTCTCTATCTATTCCTGGACTATCCCATAGGCGTGTCACGCTGGGCCTTATTGCGCCCCCTTTTCAATTTTCGTATACGTCTTAATTTTACTACACACAATGCTCTTCTCAACAACCATCGCTCGCCCATTGCAACTGCTCACTCGCGCCTTGCAGTGGGCTAGCGCTGTCATTGTCATGGGCTTGACCTCGTACTTCATCAACCGCGGTCCCCGTGGCCAGCACACCATCTACCAGGAAGTCATTGTACGTTATTCACGCTTTCCTCTATTAGCCAATCATCGCAGAGCCACTATCTCTAACCGCAGGCTTAGGCTGTCCTCTCAGTTGTCTTCTTCCTCCCTGCTTTCATTTCGCCGTTCCTGCCCTCGTCATTGGGCAGATTCGTGCTCGCTATCGATGTCGTGTTCTCCTACCTGTATGTCAAAGTTCAATCATATTGCGCACATGCAAGTCTCTGATATCCATTCTAGCTGGTTGACTGCCTTTATTTTCTCCGCGCAAGACTACAGCGGGAGCCGGTGCTACTGGGCTATCCCTGCAGGCCTCAACTGCAAGCGCAAGAGGGCCAATGAAGCTTTCATCTTCCTAGCTTTGTATGTGGCCCGAAATTTTCCAGCTGCTATCAATTGTGAAAACTAACATCGTCGCAGTATCTTCACCTTCTTTGGCATGTTCCTTGAAGTTGCCGCCCTCTGGGCCTATCGCAA